AATTTTACATAACGGTTGAGCACCATTACGATCATTATCTAATTAATTGAGTGTGCTACTTGAGAACACCCTAAGTCTCACCATCAAAATTCACTTTAAGTCCGCTTGAATCTACGCTCAAAAAAGTAGATTTATCAACGAGATTCCATGCAGGTGGTAAATTCATAATTTCGTTAAGTGTAGGATGAACTATTTTTAAAATTTAATATTTAATTAATTACTAAATTTTTTATCTTATGTTTAGAAATATTCCTTATTTTGAGCTACTAATTAAATTTATGAGCTTTCTGATTTTGACAGTGAGATAAAGTAATTTAAAGATTAATAAGTATAGAAGACCGAATAAGCGAGCATACTAGTGATGCCCAACGAAAATCATGTGATGCTAATTGTCACATGGTACAATATATAAAAATCAACAATCCATGATTTTTTTATACGTAAGTAATAGCACGTGGTAATTAGTATCACATGGTTTCGTCAGAAACGTACCATGTTCCGTTGATCATATTACTTGGCGCTAGTTATTTATTCGCTACTACAAACGTAAAATGATGTATCTCTAAACATCTAATTCAGAGTTCGTCAGTTTAAACGTTTTTGATTGGTTGGTTAATGTTTTTTGATTGGCTATCTCCAAAAAACGTGACCAGTGTGTGGGAAAAATGTAAAAATTATTTTCTGCATATTGATGTTGATAATGACGACAGAGTTACGTAATATGAAAAACTCTAAAATGCATGAGCTTACCAATTTTATCTACTATATCTCTACAATCTAATTCAGAGTTTTAGGAATACGAGTAGTTATTATCGTATAGCGCTTGATTGTAATAGAAATATAGCATGTAACTATTGTGACATTCTTGATCGTGTACGTACTGTACATAATTGTATTGTGATTGTCAAATTTATAATTATTATTCTTGCTCGGATTGATGAAGATACACTGTGGGAGTGCCACCTCTGCCGCAACAAAATTGTCAAGACTATCGATTTTGATTGGCTGTACTATGTAAAAAACATGTGACAATCCTTGATATTTTTTTATATCTTCTAACAAGCATGTAAAAATTAAATAAAAAAATTTTTATTGAGTTTGACCAGGTAGTTATCGAGAAAATTTCAATTTAAGTTTTAAAAAAGCGTTGAAAACTTAGAGTAAAACGGCTACGATTATGATTTTTTAAACGAAAATATCTCGATAACTACTGGAATTTTTTTATTTTAATTTTATAGAATTGTAGAATTAAATTTAAAAAAACTTCATCAATTTTATCGATAATTATTGAGAAATGATTACTTTAAGTTAAAAAAACATTTTTTCTTTTACAAGAGATATAAACTTTGAGCGAAGATTTCTTAGCGGCTACCTGATCAAAATTCGATGAAAATAAATTTTTTATTTTAATTCTAAAATATTTGTAGAATTAAAATGGAAAAATTGTATCGAGTTTGGTCATGTGGTTGTTGAGAAATAATTGAATATATTTTTAAAAAAATGTGAACGTATGTGTTGTAATTTTAATTGTTAAACTTTAATTGGAACAAGAATCAACACTCTTCCGAGAAACGGGATTAGTGAGTGATCCGTTTTATGGTGACATTCTGAAAGGTTATCTAAAACAGGCAATTCGAGGAACAAGTAAGATTGTTTATATCCGCAAATTTTATTCAATAATCCGTCTGGCAGCGGTAGTATATAATGTCTGATTCTTAATAACGGCAAACGGTAATATGTCCTAGAAGATAATTTATAATCAAAATTAGAATCAAGAATAGGATATATGCTACGCTTTTTTGCTATCATATGAATTTTTGATATATAGGACTATTTTATTGCGACAGCACCTGAAGAAATCTTTTTTTTTATAATAGTAGCATTGAACTATACAGTTAATTAGAAAGTTTTCAATGATCTTTCAGTAATGAAATAAACTATTATTAACCAAATGTGAAGTATAATTTTATACTAATATAAATGGATTTATTACATTTAATAGTTACAAATAAAACTTCTGAACATGCTACAATTCCTTGGAACGGTAAAGGTGTTATTAATGTACTTTATAATCGAGATTATGAAAATCCGTAGCAGGAAAATTAATGTAATATTTTAATCGTTCAGAATAATTATGAGAACAAAGATTACAGGTAACTTTCATAGGTTCGGAAAATCAGAATCTTACCAATGTCAGAAGTTTTCTCAGCAGCATATTTCGTAAACATCATTAAATATCAAGCTTACCAATTTTTATAAAAATTTACTGAATATTTGGGACAAATTAACATCCTGGTTTCATTTTTTCAACATAATTTATATTATTTTTTTTTAGATTCCAACATCAACAGCTATTTAATAGTGATGGAAAATGCGGGGAACATTACTCTACATGGGATAGAAAAAATAAAAATTATGTAAGATAGCTTATGATTTAAAATATATCCATAACATAGGAATACTTCATCGAAAATTGGTAAATTTTTACTCTTGTTTCAATTTTTTCTTTGATACATTTTTATGTTTATTTCGCTTTAGCATACAAAATCAATTTTAAAAGTAGTATTAATAAATATGATTTAATTGTCCAAATTATGCTTAAGAATATTCGAAAAAAACTTGCTATTGGTAAATCACTATCTTATGTCAACTTATATCAGAGGTGCTGGGAATATAATTCACATAGTAGAACAACAAAACATGGGGGACTATTTTATATCGGTGGTAAGACAAATTTTGTACATATTAATATGAGAAAAGGTGCCTTAATTAACCTTTATGTACAACGATGAGAGAAATGCCAATTTCATGTCATAAACATATATATATATATTTAGCCTTTACCTTCTAAACTCACATGTATGTGAATAAGGTTTTCTTTTTTTGATTTATAATAAACTCTATTTAAATGTTTAGAAATAACATACTTAAGAAACATTGAATATATATGATTCTCCAAAAGAAGAATTTTAAAAAGTGACTAAAAAAATTCATTGACGAAATGCGTAAAAGGTTCCATGATTATAAGGCATTCTCCAATGTGGAAAAAATCAAAGGAACAATGTCTAAAGTCGAGTGGAAATTCACTAATGTGGAAAAAATTGATGGAAAACTTGGAAAAACATTTAAAGCTTAGTGGAGAGGTTGTGGGCTAATCTTTGCTCCTAAAAGTTTGTAAGTTAATAATACAAATTTTAATGAGATCATTAAAGAAGTACTATAAATTGCTTACACCAAAAACACATCAAAAGACTATGAACTTATTAAATTTATTGGTTTTTCTCTTTAATTTTGTTTACAGCTTCAGCTTAAAAGAAACGTAAGCCTTCATTCTAACATAATTCTTGTGTAAGGCATAACTAAAGACATGTATTATATTTCTTAATTAGTGTGCAAATTAAATACTTATAAAATGTTGCGACTGATGATGGAAATGTGATGTTAGGACTGGGAATTGGGCCCTATTTAAAAAAAAAAAAAAATACAATCCTGACTAATCTTTGCTCTTTTATTATTAAATTTAGTTCTAAATCTGATCTAACTATAAAAACATAACTAATATATATATATATATGTACATGACTAAAAATTTTCAGATATCATATTAAAATAATTGCATCGACCGAACATTATGTACCGTCTGGCCGCAATCTGTTATATATTTTTATCACAAGATCCATGTCAAAATTATACCCATCAAAAGCTCTTTTCTCAGTTGGCATCTCTGCCATGATGACTCCAAAGATATAAATATTGGCAGCATTCATAAAGTTTTGCTGACCAGATAAAACTTCTGGTGCAATATAAACATAACACCATAAATTGTACATGCTTATACTTTCTAGAAAATCTGAAATCTGAAATGGAAGATTGAACACTTTCATTGTTATGTCTATGCAGTAAAACATTATCACTGTGGAAGTCAGTGTGAATATTATTATTATGCAGATCATTATATCATGGGAATTCATGGTATTTCCTGGATTTCCGGAGTTTTTAAGACCCGCTCTATTCGGATTTTTATTTTTACTAAGCAGAATTTCCGCATTCCCCACATAGGTATATGGAAATAGTTTTCCACATCTTTTTGAAAACAGCTGTAATTAATTAATATTATGTATAAGAGTAGAGTGAGAATTTTTAATGGGCCTAATCTCGAATTTGTAGAAAAAAATTATAGCAGTCAGAAGAATTTATAATAATTACCTCTAGTCTAACGATGCAGTAGAATCGTCCCAATAATTGCCATAACTAGTTAAGACTATAGTTGTTAGACGAAACCTTGAGGTTTCGCGCTGACGAAATGCGAAACCTAGTTTCGTCTTTTGTCAACTAAATCTCAAATGACGAAAGGTGATGAAACCGATAAGAAACAGAAGCAAGTGTAAGTAAGGTCGCCACTGGCTCCTACATTTATGTTTATATAAGACTAAAATTTAAAACATACAATTATATCAATTTTAATAAGTAAC